CAGATTGCTGCAGCCAACTGGTCTACCAGGAGCCAGTCAGCTGCTGCTCTGGACACATACCTACCCCTCCTCTCCTGCCATGGCCACGTGGTGTGGCCCTGCTTGGCTGCCTCCATTCATTCATTTACTTACGTTGGGGGGCAGTTCTCAACGTCAATGCCTCTTCAAAGGTCACGTCTTTCTTTCTTTCTTTCTTTCTTTCTTTTTTTTAATTTTTGTAACGTTTATTCATTTTTGAGAGACACAGACAGAGCACGAATGGGGGAGGAGCAGAGAGAGAGGGAGACACAGAATCCGAAGCAGGCTCCGGGCTCCCAGCCGTCAGCACAGAGCCCGATGCGGGGCTCGAACTCACCCACCAGACTGCGAGATCGTGACCTGAGCTGAAGCCGGATGCTGAACCGACTGAGCCACCCAGGCGCCCCAAAGGTCACGTCTTTCTTGAGTTGTACTTGGTTCTACCGATTCCACCTCTCTAGAGACCCAAATGTGATGGCAAATGCCAGCTTTTGAGCTCTGCAGTAGCTGCATGTTAACAGTTAAATATATGGTGTCCAAACACCTAATTTCAGAAATTCCTAGACTCTGGCCCAGGATTACTCGTTGGTCACACTGAGGTTTTTTAAGTCATGTGACATTTGCCAGGAAATCTATAACTCCGATTGTCCTACGCCTAGACCCTGCCTCAAAGTACACACGCTGGATTAGAAGCCCCAAATCTGTAAGCAAGACTTCCTTAGCGACTAAGTCCCCACAGCTGGTGAAGTCCCTACTTTATCCTTTGTTGTCAGTATTTTGTTTGTCGTTTGTTATTGTTATGTTGGTATGTTATTATGTTGTTACCCTTTGTTATGAGTGAAGAAGAAATGACTCTTTCTTACTAAATACACTGCAGGGTTACCTTATAATTTGATGACAAATAATTAACACTTCTTTGTAAAAAAAAAAATAAATAAAAGAATTAGCATGATCAGCAATTAATTTCCCATACAATAATTCAAGGAAGCTTTCCTGGGCCTGTTCTATACGCTTTTGGCTCTTTTACAAGAATACATTCTTGCGTACTTACGGAATAAAACAAAATGGCAAATTAGTAGGATGAGAATTTTCACAAAGATGGAGATTATAAACCACCGGGTGGTTAGAAGTAGAAGCAGATTTTATTAGCACATGTTACTGGGTCATATGTCATTGCTTTGTGGTATGTTTGCAACCAATATATGTATTTTAAAAACCAGGGGGAAAAGCAAAAGTTAAAAATCACAAAATATGGGCCGATTAATGAAAACGGTGTTTGCCAGGCCATCAGGAGATGTTTGAAATGCTTGCGGTACTCTCCCTTAAAAAACAAATCTGTGAATTCTGCACTCCAGAAATGGCACAGAAAAACTTGACATGTTTACAAAACCCAGAGGGTCAGATGTCGATTATGGAGGAGAGCCCAAAGAAGAAGCCCAAAGAAAGATAAATCTGGCAAAGAAAGTCTATGTTGAACTAATTTAAGGATTTTAAATCAAAAGTAAGAATTAGCAAACTCAAAAGATACAAGCGTCTAAGAGGTTTTTGCTCGGGGCGCCTGGGTGGCTCCGTTGGTTAAGTGTTGGACTCTTGGTTTCAGCTCAGGTCATGATCCGGTTCATGGGATCAAGCCCTGGGTCAGGGTCTGCACTAACAGCATGGAGCCTGCTTGGAGTTCTCTCTCTCTCTCTCTCTCT